TTTCATATGTTGATATTTAGATCATCTGCAATATTGACAGTTTGTCCTTGCTTTCTAACCCCAATGTATTTTTATGTCTTTTACTTACTTATTTTTTGATCTCTAAAACAATGCTGAGTAGAAACGGTGATGAGAGTGGGCATTCTAATCATGCCTGACATGAAAGGTCATCCACCATCATGGTTAGGAGAGGCACAGTGGAGCATACTGCTTGGTTCAATCCTGGTTCTCACTGTGTGACTTTGGGCAAGCCACTTACCCTATTTATCATCTTTCTCTCTTTAAGAGGGGAATAATAATAGTACCCATCTCATAGAATTATTGTGAGAACCAAATGATTATATATATGATTTATATGCACTATGTGTGTGTGTGTGTACATATATATTAGAGCTATACCTGGCAAATATTGGCTACTGTTGTTATTATTATTATTATTAAGTAAGCTCTACACCCAACATGGGGCTTGACCCCATGACCCTGAGACCCAGAGTCACATGCTCTACTGACTGAGACAGCTAGGTGCCTTGTTATTGTTATTATTATTGCTACTGTTATTAGGATTCTGGTAACTAGCCTATATCAGATAATCAGGTTAAAAAAGTTCCCTTTTAGGTACGTGCACCCCAATGTTTATAGCAGCCATGTCCACAATAGCCAAACTGTGGAAAGAGCCAAGATGTCCATCGACAGATGAATGGATAAAGAAGATGTGGTATATATACACAATGGAATATTAGGCAGCCATCAAAAGGAATGAGATCTTGCCATTTGCAATGACGTGGATGGAACTGGAGGGTGTTATGCTGAGTGAAATAAGACAATCAGAGAAAGACATGTATCATATGACCTCACTGATATGAGGAATTCTTAATCTCAGGAAACAAACTGAGGGTTGCTGGAGTGTTGGGGGATGGGAGGGATGGGGTGGCTGGGTGATAGACACTGGGGAGGGTATGTGCTATGGTGAGCACTGTGAATTGTGCAAGACTGTTGAATCACAGATCTGTACTTCTGAAACAAATAATGCAATATATGTTAAAAAGAAAAAGAAGAAGATAGCAGGAGGGGAAGAATGAAGGGGAGTAAGTCGGAGGGGGAGACAAACCATGAGAGACGATGGACTCTGAAAAACTAACTGAGGGTTCTAGACGGGAGGGGGGTGGGGGGATGGGTTAGCCTGGTGATGGGTATTAAAGAGGGCACATTCTGCGTGGAGCACTGGGTGTTATGCACAAACAATGAATCATGGAACACTACATCAAAAACTAATGATGTAATGTATGGTGATTAACATAACAATAAAAAAGATTTAAAAAAGTTCCCTTTTATTATCAATTTTCTAAGAGTTTTTATTCATAAATAGGTGTTAGAATTTTATGAAATAATATTCCTATATTTTTGAGATGATCATTTTTCCCCCTATTTGTTAATATGGCAAACTTTATTAAATAGTCTTCCAAAGTTATTCCATCCTTGGATTATCTCAGGATTAACTGTAGTGGTCACAATTTATCTATGTTTTTGATATTTTGATAGATTCAATTTCCTAACATTATATTTAGAATGTGTGCCATGTACATTCCTTTTTTTTTTTTTTAAGATTTTATCTATTTGACAGAGAGAGACACAGCGAGAGAGGGAACACAAGCAGGGGGAGTGGGAGAGGGAGAAGCAGGCTCCCCGCCGAGCAGGGAGCCCAATGTGGGGCTCGATCCAGGACCCTGGGACCATGATCCGAGCTGAAGGCAGACGCTTAACGACTGAGCCACCCGGGCGCCCCAGCTGTGTCCATTCCTAAGTGATTTTTCACATGCACCTTTGCTTTTGCCTACCATCATTGCTAGTTTGAGCAGCCTCATAATTTAATTTGGAAGTTTCCTTCTGTTTCTATTTTTTGGAACAAATTGCATAAAATATGGCTTGTCTGTTCTCTAAGAGTTTATAAAGTTCACCTGTAAAGCAGTGAAAATCTGAAGCTTTACCTGAGGTTTTCCTTTTTGATCCGATCAGTGGATTCAATTTATTTACTGGTTATAATCTCTCAGGTTTTCTTTTTCTTCTTGAGTCAGAACTGATAAGTTCTATATTTCTGAAGGATTGTCCAATAGGTCTAATTTTAAGTTAGTTAGCATAACAATTTTTTTTTAAAGATTTTATTTATTTGAGAGAGACAGAGAACACGAGCAAGGTGAGGGGCAGAGATGGGCGCCTGGGTGGCTCAGATGGTCAAGCGTCTGCCTTCGGCTCAGGTCATGATCCCAGGGTCCTGGGATCAAGTCCCACATCGGGCTCCCTGCTCCTTGGGAGCCTGCTTCTCCCTCTGCTTCTCTCTCTCTCTCTCTCCCTCTCTCTCTCTCTCTCTGTCTCTCGTGAATAAATAAAAAAAAATCTTAAAAAAAAAAAAAAGGAAAAAGGTGAGGGGCAGAGGGAGAAGCAGACTCACCGCCGAGCAGGGCATGACCTGAGGCGAAGGCAGACGCTTAACCGACTGAGCCACCCAGGCGCCCCAGTGTAACAATTTTTGTAAGTCCCTGTTGTAGTTATATTCTTTTTTTTATTCCTTGTAGGACTGAGTTATGCTTTTGTCCTTTTTTTCTTATTTGTTCTTGGAAGTTTATCTATTTTATTAATCTTTTTAAAAATCAACCCTTCTGTTTCCCTGATCAACTCCATTGTTTCTTTTCTATTTTATTAATATTTGCTCTTATCTTTATATTTTCTTCTGAGGGAGGTAACCATTTTTTTTTTATCTGGGTGCATAACTTACTAATATTAGATCTTTGTCTTTCTACAACAATGTCCATTGAATAACTTTTTTTTAATAACTCTTTTTAAAAGTGTTACTCAAATATTCTATAATTTCACTTCTGTGTGATGTAATGAGTATTGATAGAAGGGTTATAAAATCGCCCACTGCAGTGGAGGGTTATCATTTTTTCTTCATAATTCTGTCAGTGTTTGCTCTGTGTATTTTGTTTGGGATATAGTAGTTTATTTATTTTTATTTATTTATTTTTTTAAGATTTTATTTATTTATTTGACAGAGAGAGAGACACTGAGAGAGGGAACACAAGCAGGGGGAGTGGGAGAGGGAAAAGCAGGCTTCCTGCGGAGCAGGGAGCCTGATGTGGGACTCGATTCCAGGACCCTGGGATCATGACCTGAGCCGAAGGCTGATGCTTAACCAACTGAGCCACCCAGGCGTCCCTCCACGAAACCTATCCTTTAGAGTTAAACTTTTGACAAGGGTATTTTTTCCCTCTGGAAAGCCCTTGGACTTTAGAAGTGCTTTGAATTGGAAGCTCTCAGAATTCAGAAGCCACTAAAACCCTTAATGCCTTTGGAATGCTGGACTAACCCATTTTGGAGAGCAATCTTATATACCTGGCTCTTCTACATTGCACAATTGGAGTTTGACATAAAGATAGCTCTCACCTTACATCCATTCTGAAATCAGAGACCCATCAACCCGTCGAATCTCGGTTCTACTGACTTCTGCATGGAGCCCAGGGTTCCTGACAGTTCCATCCTACTTGCTCCGGAAAGAATGCTCAGGCTGAGGAAGGAAGGTGGTCCCCAAATCTTGGGTATTTAGTCCCTGTAGAGTAGAGAACTCTCTCTCCTCTAAGAACAGGCCTCTAGAAAGGCTAGTTATAGTGGTGCTTTCAGAATCAGAAGGGAAAAAAAATGAGCTTCAAGAAACCAAAAAAGTCCCCAGCTTTGGAATCACTGGAATCCACATGCTTACTCCATCATTACCCTGTCTTCCTCTCTTGTATGAGGAGGTAGCAGGCTTCCCTTCCTTCCTTCAACCCTCCCTCACTCCCTCCGTTCCCCTTTTCCTCCCTCCCTCCCTCCTTTCCTCCCTCCCTTCCTTCCTTCCTAGATTTAAAAAAATTACACTGGTAATATAGGTATATTGTAGAAAAAAGAGAAAATACAGATGAACAAAAGGAAGAAAATGAAAGTCACTGCCCAGATTTAACCACTGTTAAAATTTGAATATGTATCCTTCCACACATGTTTTCCTACTTATTAGCCTTTTCTTTTCTTTTCTTTTTTTTTTTTAGGTAACTGGGTTAAAAAAAGATAAGCTATTACTTTCTTGCATTGAAAATGTTTAGATCATTATAATTGGTTGATTCTTTTTGAACTATTTTCTAATTTGGAAATAACTGAAAAATTGTACAAAATATTAGGCAAAAAGTTAACATGATTCTCATGAAATATCCACTTGTTTTCCTCTTTGCCTCTTTCTATTTTTTTTTTCCCATTATGTAAAGATAGGGATGAAAGAAGGTTAAGAGGGGCGCCTGGGTGGCTCAGTTGGTTAAGCAACTGCCTTCGGCTCAGGTCTTGATCCCGGGGTCCTGGGAGTGAGTCCCACATCGGGCTCCCTGCTCAGCAGGGGGCCTGCTTCTCCCTCTGCCTCTGCCTGCCCTCCCCCTGCTTGTGCTCTATCAAATAAATAAATAAAATCTTTAAAAAAGAAAGAAAGAAGGTAAAGAGGAAAGAAGAAAGTTTGGTGGAGAAACAACATATAACAATGAGAACAAAAATCAACTAAAATTAAGAGATATGAATATGTTTCAGACTAATCTGGGGAGAGGAAGGATGGTAGAAAACCCACATGGACTAGCATCTTTGCCCATTCAGGGGTGATGGTGAGGATGGAGCTAAGAACTAGTCAAGTCAGTTGTCTGGACTGGGATTTGGTGCTGATGAGATCAAGGGGATGTAGTTCATCACTGCGTTAAACAGTGAGTGTCCCTCAAAGGTGCCGATCTCATGGCAGGGACAGCACTTGGAAACAAATGTCTCACAAACGTATGTCACTGGTCCCAAAGGCAGCTTGGTGAAGGTGGGGATAACTCAGCAGAAGCCAACATTACTCCCTGGGGAAGAATGCCCTATAGCACGTCTTACTGATAAAGATCATGGTTTTTACCTGACTCCACATGATAACCTGTTGGTTTGTTGGTTTCTTTGAATTACAGTTCAAATTGCCTTAATATTTGGTGCAAGAATATTAGACTATGTCTTCAATTTATGTGAAGGTAAATTTGACTTCCTTGAACAGCTCTCAGACAATTTGCTCCTGAATATCATTTCTTATCTGAATCTTGAAGATATTGCCAGGCTTTCTCAAACATCACGCAGATTTGCACAGGTAACATAATTATTTTATGTCTATGCAGGGTTTTTTTTGTGCTTCCTCAAAGTCTTTTCTTTCTTGCTTGCTTGCTTGCTTGCTTGCTTTCTTGCTTTCTTTCACATGGTGGTTTATTGTTTGCATTCATTTCAGCAAGCATTTGTTGAATACTTACTTGATCATGAGCCCTGTTTTAGGCACAGAGGTAGCAGACATGAAAAGACATTATTCTTGCCCTCAAGAAACTTACAGTTTAATAGGAGAGACCCTAACAGATACAGATTATTACAATATAATGTGAGGAGTTCAACAAGGGATGTGTGTATGAGGTACAAAGACAGTACAAAGTGATTTCCTCTGCCAGTCTTCACAGAAGGGATTACTTTATCTGGGGTTTCAAGGGAAAATAAGAGCTCACCAGGTGGTCTGGAAGACTAGGGGTATTTCAGGTCAAGGGGCATTCTAAGTCCAGGCAACGATTCCGGCAGAGGCATGGCCACATGAAAGAAGACAGTGAGTAGTGAGTCTTCTATCCATCTCCCTTTCTTCCATTAACAGCCCTTTGTAGAATTATCTATTCACAATGTGGGTGGTTTTGGGGAATTGTTCATCATAGTGCCCTGTCTTCCATGCCCCAGGCTGACAGAATGGACTGTCTCTCACTACTTTGAATCCTCAGCAGAATGATGCCATCGGAAGACACACTTGGTGCTAATTTTGCCCAATGTCAGGGTCTTGTGGCAACCATTATTGGTTCTTCTCCTTGCATCCTGGAAGGTGCCTTGGTTCCTGCCCTTTTAGTTATTCCTAAACACACTTCCATTAAATCCTTTTTTGGCTTAAGTTAATCAGAGTTGGAGTTTGTTTGAAACAGAAGAAACCTAACCTGGTATTTAGTTGTAATTTACTGGGGCAATGTCCATTTATAAAAGAGCATGCAGTAGGGACGCCTGGGTGGCTCAGTCGGTTAAGCGTCTGCCTTCAGCTCAGGTCAGGTCCTGGGATCGAGTCCCACATCGGGCTCCCTGCTCCCCGGGAGTCTGCTTCTCCCTCTACGCGTGTTCTCTCTCTGTCAAATAATAAATAATATCTTTAAAAAAAGGAGCATGCAATATTTCCCAAGATGATTTTAATCATAATCTCTTTTTTTTCTTTAAAGACAGTATTCATGAGGCGCCTGGGTGGCACAGTCAGTTAAGCATCTGACTCTTGGTTTTAGCACAAGTCGTGATCTCAGGGTCATGAGATTGAGCCCTGCACTGGGGTCTGCCCTCAGTGCAAAGTCTGCTTGGGTTTCTCTCTCTCCCTCTCCCTCTGCTGCTCCGCCCCCCACACGTGAGATCTCTCTCTCTCTAAAAATAAATAAATAAATCTTTAAATAAAAGAAGACAGTATTCACCCATCTCTTTGTATTTATATTTATTTATTTATTTATTTTTAAGTAGGCTCCACACCCATCGTGGGGCTTGAACTCAGGACCCCGTAAGATCAAGAGTTGCGTGCTCTGCCGATGGAGCCAGCCAGGCGCCCCAGTTCATAGTCTTATTATCTAAAAAGTCAACATTTTTTTCACAATAATGCCATCATATTTCTTGATATATATTAGTTTTAAATAATATAATCTATATTATTTCATATCTTTGAGAATAAAGCCATATGTTTTTACTTAGTTTTCCCCCTAAAAATGGAGAGACAGAAGCAAGTATTATGAGTAATCTCTGTACATTTTTTTGCCATTAACATATGTATTAAAGTTAAGATTTGCTGCTGATAAGAATCTGATTATTCATACGTTCAATGAAAAGGAATTTTAAATACATGAATATACTAGTGGGGATCTATTGAAAGCTTCTGCTAGGGCCTGCGCTTGTTCCCGAAATGAAATGGAAGGATTTGACAGAGAATGGCAGCAACTGCAGTGTCTTGTGCAATTTATTCCTTACACTGAGCAACTGTCTTCTCTCCAGGTGTTGCTCCCTTCCCATCTTGATGACTCCTCTTAGCGTCCTGCCATTATTTCAATGCTGTCTTGGAAATATCCTCCGTACTTTACCTGCTGTTCTAAAGTAAGCCTTTTCTAGGTTGCTGATTTCAGCTCTCAGTATCCTTGCAGAGCAGAATTTTTTGAAGATGGAGAATGGTCCAGGGCTGCTGCCTTTTATCTCTCCACGTAACAGTAACCACTCATTTCTGTCTTCAGTCTACATTTTATCTGCATACCATTTACTTAGTTTTCACCTGCATTTATACATTATTTTCTGCTTTGTCCTGCTATTTACTTCCTTATTAATGAAAAGAAAAAAGCTTCCATTTCAAATTTCTGCAGGCAAATTTATTAGCAAATTATTTGTGTCCATGTCTAATCCTTTCCTCTGACCTCAGGGAGGGAGGTGTTCTCCTCTGCAGGCCAGTGCCGCCTGCCACCTGGCTCCAAGGTCTGACCCAAGGGACTTTAGTCTGCCACTTATCTCCTTTCTCTTCTGTGTTGTTATTGTTTTTAAAAAACCTTTTTTTTTTTTAAAGTAGGCTCCACGCCCCTTGTGGAGCCCAACTCGAGGCTTGAACTCACGACCCTGAGATGAAGACCTGAGCTGAGATCAAGAGTCAGAGCCACCAAGCGGCCCTAAAAACCTTTTTGTTTATAAATAATTTTATCTTATTTTTTAAAAAAGATTTTATTTATTTATTTGAGAGAGAGAGAGAACAAGGGGATGGGGTAACGGCAGAGGCAGAGGGAGAAGCAGACTCCCCACTGAGCCCGACGAGGGGCTCGATCCCAGGACCCTGAGATCATGAACCGAAGGCAGATGCTTCACTGACTGAGCCATCCAGGTGCCCCTACAAATAATTTTAGATTTGTAAGTGTTGCAAAGATAATACAGGTTGCATATACCCTTCACGAGCTTTCCCTAACACCAACATCTTATATAACCGGGGACATTTATCAAACCTCAGCAGCTGATACTGATATAATACTATTAACTAAGCCACAGACTTTATTCATAGTTCATCAGTTTTTCCACTAATGTCCTTTTGCTGTTTCAGGATCCAGTCTGGGATACTATATTGCATTTAGTTCCTATTTTTAAATCTTTCTTTCATTTGTTTTTTCCTCTTGGAAATTTTCTCAAATCAGCCTCATCCTTAAGAACCCAAAAACTCTTGACTCTATTTGCAGCCAATCTCTTTCCTTTTCTCCCTGGGAAAACAAAACAAAACAAAACAAAAGTTTACAGGGCAGTTCACCCTCTAGCATTATCAATGGGAGCAAGATTTTATAATCCATGATGAAATGAGAACAGTAAGTAAATGATATATGAAGAGTTTGTTATCAAGCCAAATTTATTCCATTTAAATGATCTTTTTTTTTTTTTTTACTAGTAGGCTCCACGTCCAATGTGGGGCTTGAACTCACGACCCTGTGATCAAGGGTCTCATTCTCTACCGACTGAGCCAGCCTATAAATGATCATCCTTTATTGGAGGTTAGGCCTTCCTATTTTGGAGATTTAAAATGTCCTTTTTTTTTTTTTTTAAAGATTTTATTTATTTATTAGAGATTGAGAGAGAGCACGAGAGCAGGGTGAGGGACCGAGGGAGAAACAGACTCCCTGATGAGCAGGGAGCCTGATGCGGGACTTAATCTGGACTCCAGGATCATGACCTGAGCCGAAGGCAGATGCTTAACTGACTGAGCCACCCAGGCACCCCAAAATGTCCCTTCTTTTATGAAATAATGGCCTTAAAACATGATCATTTTAACCAATTATCCTTACTTGGAAAAATTTAAAAAGTTAGTAACCTTATTTTGGTTCTTAATTTTTGTTTTATTGGATTTCTAAAAATTTCAATGGTCTTATGACATCCTAAATTCCCAAAGCCACTAGTCTACTCTCAACCTACCTCATCTCCCTTTTCCCCCCTCTGTCCATGCCTCAGAAATATAACTAAATATCCCTGGCCTCATTCACAGGAACCCCTTCATTGTCACATCTAAAGGGCCTGTTTCAGGCCTTTCACTTCCTGACCCATCTTTGTTTCCAGGATTTTCTGCTGACTTTTCTCCTGGCCATCTCTCATGTGCTGGGTAGGCTCTCTTGGGCCTTTGGCATTTGCTAATATTCTTACCTTCCCCAGGAATGCCCTGCTTCTGACCCACCTCTTTTTTTTTTTTTTTAAAGATTTTATTTATTTATTTGGGGGAGAGAAAGAGAGAGTACACAGGCCGGGGGAGGGGCAGAAGGAGAGGGAGAAGCAGACTCCCTTCGAAGCAGGGAGCCCGACATGGGGCTCGATTCCAGGACCCTGGGATCATGACCTGAGCCGAAGGCAGACGCTTAATTGACTAAGCCACCCAGGCGCCCTCGACCCACTTCTCTTAACTCCCACCATCTGCTCTTGCTCTGATTCCATGTTGACCCAACCACAGCGCCTCCATGGATGAGCATCCGAAAGCCTGGTTGCTGGGTGGTTGTATTTCTCAGGGTGAACAACAAAGAGGCATCCTCTGGGAGCTTGGCTAATATGAGCACACCCCTGAAAGGTGAATCCCATGTCATGGTATACGAGAAAGGCCGCCTGAGAGCCAGCCCTGGGATTGCTGCAAACTCATGCTGGGTAATGCTGCTAGGAACCTGCTTGGGGGCATGCTGGCTTGGCCCAGGTGGCACCAGGCCTTGATGCTATCCTTTTTCAGCAAACTACAGCCGAGTAGACCCAAAGAACCTCAGCAGCTAGATGAAAGGTTGAAGCCCAGACAGGGCAAGACTATGGTGACTGGTATATAAACATATTCATCTTGGTCATGACTCAGGAACAGCTACAAACTCCCTATGACCATGATTCCCAAGACTGGCCAAGTAGGCGAAGCACCTGGGGAGCAGGTGAAAATAGAGATTCGAGGCCCACACCCTGGTAGGTGGGCAGGTCTGAGGTGGATCCAGCATCTCTGCTCTTGATGTGTTTGCTTGTATTTACAGCAACCCAATTCTGAATCCTGCCCAAGAATTTGATATTAAA